AAAAAAAAAAAAAAAAAAAAAAAAAAAAAAAAAAAAAAAAAAAAAAAAAAAAAAAAAGTTAAGTCTAACAGAAGACTTACTAGAAACAACAAATTGTGAACAAACCCTATGGACAACTAGAACCCCTTCTAAGCATGAAAAAACTTCTCCAAAAATATTGCAACCCATATGAATGTACATCAATTTAAGCTCACGAGTGATGACAGCCAAATTCCACATTTTTGACATAATAAATAATTTCATGATGACATAAACACATCACCATAGCTCTTCAACGCTGTTCTGGAGGGGAGTGCCAGTAATTAGCAACTTGTTCTTCGTGCCAAATTCCTGTAAACATAACATAGGGGTCAATCAAAATCCAAGCAACCTAAAACCACACTATAGAAGAGCAGAAAATTCAACTGAAATGTAATCATACCAGTAATGTTGTATACAATGACGCCTCACTGTTCTTTAACCTATGTGCTTCATCAACCATAAGATAGTTCCACTTAATCTTTGAGAGGACAGCCTTGTCCTTCAGTAGTACCTCATACGTAGTCAGAAGAGTGTCAAATTTTGTACTCCGGCCAGCCTTCTTGTCATTATAAAACTCGTACTGCTGGCAGACCTGCAATTAGATTGAGATCACAATATCATGCGAGGGAAAAAACAAGAGTGAGAATGCCACTGTATACTCACAAAAAATAGCACAAAAGAAGAAAAATGAAGCAAGTGACATGCACACTGCCTCCCAAACCAGAAGCAGAAAACAACAGATCAACTACCTAACTCAGACAGAGAAGGAAATTTTAAATGACATGTAAAGTGACATTAAGTTATAACGTAACATTTCTTCTCACTATCACTAATTCACTAACCAAAGCATGCGTGAGAATAAAAGTGAACACCTCAGACCCGAATGCCAAAATATATCCTGAACTACTGAAGAAAGAGAAAACGGAAAACAGCAGCTACCTCACGGCTAGCACGAGTTCCAACATATATAATGACGTTCATATCAGGCAACCACTTTCTGAATTCTTTTGCCCAATTCGACAAGGTAGATAGAGGAACAACAACAAGAAATGGTCCTTGAATTTGCTGAGCATTCTGAGGAAGAGATTGCACATTAGTAGCTATCGAAAGACTGGAATATCATCTGAAGATGATTAGCACTATAAAGTACCTGCAAGAAACCAAGCATTGAAACTGACTGCACAGTTTTACCAAGACCCATTTCATCAGCTAAAATTACATTGGTATCATTTCTCCAGCTGTGCTGCAAAAGAGCCACTGATCAGAACTGCAGGCTGCTTTGATGTGTACGTAAGAAGTGGGCTGATTAAATGCACCAAAAAAAAAAAAAAAAATGTCAGCTAGAGCATATCCGCTTCCAACCCATACCTGTTAACTAGAAAGTTTAATCCTTCCAGCTGATAATCTCGAAGATTACCCCCTTTCAACCATCCAGGCTGTTCGTCAAGCTTCCTGAGACTTCCTGAGAGCGCAAAGCGACTAGTCAAATAGTAACATGGTCTAATATAATTCGGAAGAACGAGAACTAAACAAATATGTAAGATAAAGTAACGGAAATAACAAGGAGAAACTCTTATTTTGATTATATATTTTAGCTTCTTGCCTACCTATTAACTCTGCTCAATCAATATATAAAACCACAAATGGAAAACTTAAAATTCCTACAAACATGTATAAGCGAAGACAAGGACGCAATACAAACCTCTGCTTCTCTTGCGCTGGAAATCAACAGTCTTTCCCTGAACCATTGCTGCAACTTCCCGTGCCTGTTACAATCAGACGAACATGGTGTTAAGCACTTAGGTTATGCATTCTTTATCAATTGCATCCGTGACCAGACTTTCTAAGAAATAAAGCAGCAAAGTCCACTTAAATCAAAGGTCATTAATACATGTAAATATAGCACATTTAATTAATCGAGGCAAACATTTAAATTCACTATCCAAACTTAGCATCATTATTCACCACAAATCAGCACATCGAAATTTTGAAGGTAAACATTTAAATTCACTATTCAAACTTAGCATCATTATTCACAAGAAATCAGCAATTATGAATTTACCAATTTATTGAGCTGTCCAAAGTTTTAATGGAAACGCTCAGGAATTACTCACGCTGTCTCACTTCGAATGTTTACATAACTCAATAGCGCCACACACACACACATATTTATACCGATCCACATAGTATCCTATTCTCAGCAGTTATGTATAAGAGTGCTCGTTTACTTTTTAGATAATTTTAACCATTTATCCAGCCCGTTACTGTTCAAATAATTATATCCTATGGGCAGTTTTGGCAATGGTGATTGGATTACAGGCCATATGAGCCCTATCATGTACAACACTTGATAAATTGCTGGACTTTCCAATTTTCAATATAATGTGCCTTGTTTTGCATTTTGGATACTCATGCCCAGTGAATTCTTCCCAGTCATACATTTTGTTTTGAAGTTTGATTCACAGGGAATGAAACACTCTACAAAATGGCAACAAAGCATGTGTGGGAGGAGAAATGGGCATTATATTTGGGTTTGCAATAGATCTATATATATATAATATATATCTATAATTGCTAGCCAAACATTTAATAAAACCTCAAAACTTTTCCCTCCAAAAGACGTTACTTAGCATTAATTAAGTATTTATATTTTTTATTTATTTTATTATATAACAACTACTACTAACAAATCATAAAGTCACATTAAATGATATTATAATTTACTTTTTTTTCGAACTATTTATATAAATTATTATTATTTTCTTTTGTTTAAACTCATTAAGCAAGTTTTTTTATTAACATTACTTATTTAATTTTTAGAATATAACCAAACTTTTAAAGTTTCGTACACATTGCTATAATAACATGCTATTATATGACTTATAATTTTTAAATATTACATACACATACATATAACATATCACGTTTTATTTGCACAAATGCTAGTTGAGAAAGAAAAAACGGAAATTTGCATGCGCTTCTAGGGGCAAAACTGACTTTTCGCAACAGGGAGTAGCAATAACACCTCCATACGCCTGATCCAAAGTTTAAAGAATTGTTACAGGGCGTTATGTAATCAATGGGCTGGTTTAAAAAATCCCAAATGTAATGATTGGTAGGGGTTACCTGCCTTTATCTCACTATTCCCATCATTTCCAACTTCCCAAAATGCCTTATGTTTACAAGCTGTGATAGGGCATTTAAAAAGTGGTTGATTATTTAACCTTGTGTTTCTTTGTTGGGACAAAATAATTTTATCCATTTGACCATGCCTTTATGTTGGGACAAAATAGTAAGGCCCAAGAGTGCCGGACAGATTTGTCACCCATTTTTTTTATAAAAGTACAGGCCAAACGGTCTCAGGATATATAAGCAGGCTTATATCAACCCAAGTGAACAACATTTATCCATAGATAAATGGAGTTATCCTAGACAATAAGAAGAAGTAAACGAGCCCTCAAAGTACTACTCAGAAATAGAAAGACGCAAGTCACAAGATAACCCTAGTGGACACCCTGAAAGTCACCAAACACGCATTGATCAAAAATAGAAATTACAAGAGTGATACCTTGAACTCATCAATAGCATCTTGAGCAAACGAAATATCCGTGTCCTTCTCCCTACAAGACATAACCAATAATATATCCTATGCTCTAGTTGAAATTAGCACGAAAATCAAGCAATTAGATTCCATTCCAGAGCCATGGACAGACACCATGGAAAAATGATTTCCTGGATATTTATATATTAACCCAGATATAATCATCTTAGACGAGCACTATCCAACTAAACCATATATAAAGAAACATCAAGATTACCAAGTGGCTTCAGCATAAGACAATCCTTTCCACTTGACCAAATATTCTGGCACAACATCACCCATACTATCATTTACGAGTCTCTCAGCTATCACTCTCTCCACCTGAGCATGCATTATCGAGACCCATCAAAAAACCAGTTTACCAGGAACATGGATACAAAAGGTCAGCAGACCTCACTTGACAGAGACAGCAATGACAGCTGTCAGAATGACAAACCTGGCTGTTTTGTTTGATGATATCCAGGTCCATTTCCTTACTGACATCGTTGACCTCAATCTGATTAAAAAAAGACAAAGGCAGAGATTAAAAATGTGATAAAGAAATTGTGTGCAATAACTAGAGAGATGAAATTGCTAAAGAAAGTTGACATACAGGCAAGGCAACATAAAGTAAATGTAAGAACAAAGTCAACATACTGGTGACTGTCTAAAATAATAAGAAATTCATTATTTCCCTTCACATTCCAAGTTCCGAAATTTTCAAATATACTTTTGTTCGTCAAAGATTAGAGTTACAGTGATCTCCAAAACCTCAAGAACAGGTTGTTTAAACGATTTTCTTTAACGGCAAATGCAAAAGGCAACATAAGAGACCAAACTAATCATATACAAAAACGAATTCTCATTGTGTTCCAATTCCCAAGAAGAATGATTAAACAGGAGCCACTTCAGGTGAGCCATTTAGAAAAATATAACATCAGTCAAGAAATACTTTGATGGAACAGATTCACAAACAACTATCTCAATCTCGTAACCACAAAGAGAGATATGAAGATCAGCATTTTTTTCAAAACAGCAAATTCACTTTCCAGAGATTCAACTTCAAATTTCTTAATAAATTATAAATGTATGATTCTGCTCACAATTATATTGGTGAGTTTGTTATGGGACGACTCACTCTCCCATTCACTCGGGAGATTGTTTGCATATTGAAAAAGTCCGACACTAGATAAACAACCCTTGTTTAAAGCGTCTCCATAACTTAATCATATACCACTTTGACCTTCAAGAGTAAGCAATAGCCTTCTGCATCACTGCAGATCTTATCTATATTTTGTGCACATAACATCCTTTATTCCCACTTATTATGTTGCATAATGCTTACTATGTAATCATGCATACTAGGCAGACACACTACAGAACCTAACACACATGCTTACATGATGTCAAACCAGAATTTCAATACAATGTAATCAACTCACCTCTTCCCGTGTAACCATCTTCCGATACTTTACATCTTCCGCCACTTTTTTGATATAATTCAACACCTTCTTAAAACCACTAAGCTGAAAAACCACAAAAGAATATCAGTTTCTTCCTGTCACATGTGTAAGCATGGATCTTCGTTCACTTTATCTGGCACTCGAGTTATCGGATGCTTGACTGCAGGTGTTGGGTAACTTACATTTTGTAACTCAGATAATGGTTTCCACAGACAATGTAAGTGAGACTGGCCTTTCCATTTTATTAAAAACTCCATCTCGCTCCAATTTGGTTCCGAGTCAAACAAATAGCTCAACAGCACAGGCTCAATTGATTTACTTTCCTTTATAGCTTTTTCAGCAGTGCCCTTGGGTTGATGCCACAATACTTTCTCAATCGCATCCCCATCTTCCTCTTCAATCTCCTCCTTCTAGACACAAATGCCATCAAATAATCAATACCCTTAGAAACTTAGGAACGAATGGATTAAATAATTAATCACCATATTCATTTATAACAATAAAAGAAAATAAATGGTAAAGTGGTAAGTAAATGAGGATTTGATGTAGTTCCCAAATATTTTACATTACAGAATAACATCAAGCCCATGTTTGAGAAAAGAAAAATTAATTACAATGTGAAACCCTAAATTTGGTGATTGTAAAATTGTAAAGACAGAATAAATTAATTACAGCAACTCCATCAAGAAGTACATTTTCAATTTTTTTACGTAAATCATTAAACAAGAAAAACATCATTTATCTACGCACAAGACTTCCCACTCTCAATTGAAAACAAAAAATGATCAACACCAATAGAGAGAACCACCAACCATCCTCTTTTTTTTCCTTGCTTGTATGAAGTATATGAGACAGTCAGTATAACGTTCAAGTGATAGTACATGGTTCAATGTACTTATTAATAGAAAAAATAAAGGTCAATATACAGTAAATCTTAGAAAATTTGCAAAACTCATTCATGAATTACAGTCCCCAAGATCCTAAAACGGAAAGTAGGTAAACTTCTTCCATTGAGGATTACCATACCTTCTCCAAAACTTTGAAAGATCCCATCATCTATTGTCTCACTACAATACTCCAAATCATGGAGCCATTAAACATAATTCATGATACAAATAGCACAAAAGAACCATTGATGACACGACACGTGAACCAGTGAGTTAATAACAAAGGACACAAGGTGTTTCAAACTCGCGTAGTTCAGAAAATTTAAACTAGAAAATATTTCTATGTTAAAAAAAAAAAAAAAGAAAATAAGAAGAAGATGAAGAGAACACGTTAATAAAATAAATTCACGATTGGACCTGCATCCCATAACAAAATCAGAAGCAAAGGACAAAACTGCACCTTTTGGTTCTTTTTGCCTTCATCAATATCTTCACTTTCATCACTCTCAACATATGATACCTTCCGCACTGAACGACCTGAAGTTCGGAGTTCATTGTTCCAGCTAGAAACATTCATAGAAGCAGATCGACCACCATTCTTCTTGCGGACCGGTCCACCTCTCCTTGTACTTCTAAATTCCTCATCACTACCATTTTCTGACTCAGCAGAAGATTCTTCTTCATCTTCCTCAAAAAAAGCTCTACCATTCTTTCGCCGAGTGGAAGATGCAATTGATTTGAGTTCCTTATTAGGCTTTAAATTACGACCAGTCCTACCTGATTGCTTTACCCTGCTCTTCTTAAAGTAGACATCGTCATCATCAGACACATCTAAATCATCATCATCAACATTATCGTCCTCGTCAGATTCTTCAGCACCCCAATCTTCATCTCTATCCTGCACAGTGTTCTTATATTCACATATCACCAACAAAAGGCAGACACTGAATCCCTAAATGGAACATGTGTCAACACAACAATATTAAATGAACATAAAATTAAAATAAGAAGCTAGACACAATAATAGAAAACCCTAAAAATTCAATACCAACCCTTACAATTAAGACCTCAACACTTGCCCCCCTATACAAAGGAAATGATTTACCATTCTGATTTAAGTCTCTCTTTCATAAATATAAGTAACATAAGAGTACTAGGCACTTACAAAGTTTATCTGTTTGAGATATGGGTAAGAGACTAAGAGTACAGGTAGAAGAACTTGTAGGAACGACACATACACACAGAGGAAAGGTATGGAAACTTCATACAAAATGGTGAAATACTATATACTTCTAGTAACTGAAAATATAAAAATTTCACATGCAACAAGAAAGATACAAAATTCATGTTATCAATTCCAATGGCCGTGGGGAAATAATTTGAGACAACAACCTATATTTAACAGAATTTGTAACGCAGGACAATGCACTCCCCTAAATTTCTGAACAAATTTATAGCACAAATATTTGATGACCTAAAAAACATCATGTTCATGTCGTTCTTTAATCCCCATAAGGTAGCCTAAATCAAGTGTTGATTAATTTAACATTCAAATTCCAAATATACCCCCAATCCTCTATAAAAATACATCCAGATAATAGATGAAACGAGTAGAACACTAGAACTCGTCTCAAGCTAGCTTAAAGAGAGAAAGTTCCCAACCTGCATTTATACACCATAAGAGCACAGAGTTATTGACGTGGGACAAACACAATTTCCAAAACCCACCCTTACGCTTTACGTGCCAAGCACAAAGTCGCATGACGAACTTTTAATGAATGTGCATTGACTTATCGGTGTCGGAGAAACCAAAGTTTTAATAATCCCACGTGGAGAAACATAAAATTTTTCAAAACATCTAGATGTTTTTGCATTTCAATGATTCGAACTAGTACTATGTGAAGTTTTAATTTTCTATCATCCACGAAATAAACTTTTCAGTACCTAAACACCATGCTCAGACACCTTATAAGTTGAAAATCAAATAACATAGTTTTAGCAAACAATCCAAGTAAACAACTGAAAACAAAGCCCTAACCCAAAACTGCTACATATACACAAGCTAAATGCACTCAAACTCAATCTTAACTGAGTATACACCATGTGACATTTCATTGCATCTAAGCCGACCGTTGAAAGCTATAAAAGTGAATCAAAAGGAAAACCTTGATTCCCCTGCTCCCGCTTCCAGCCCCACAATCAGGATCAAAGTCAGCATCATCTGGATCATCTTCTGCAAGCAAAAAAACTAAATTTAATGCTAGACCACAGCCCTTTTTATTTGTATGAAAAAAAACTATACTGATAAGAGAACATTAAGGAGGGTGGAAGGAGAGTGGAGAGGGAAAAAGGAAGTCACCATCTTCTTCGTCATCATCTTCTTCAAAATCGGCATCTTCATCATGGTATCTGTTGGCTTTCAAACCCCTTGATTTCCTTGAGACACTACTTGGAGCAGCACGCTGAGTTGACTGCATCATACTACAACTACTCGGTTGGTTTTTTGCCCTGAAATGGTTCAAAGACTCACTCCGATCATCACCATCCTGCTCGTAATACTCATCAGATAACATATCCTCAGCCTGAACAATTTGACGTCCCCTCCCGACCATCTTTTGACTTGTGTCATCATTTTCGGATTCTATCCTATCCTCTGCTCCATCAGAATCCTCTTCAGCTTCGGATCCTTCGTATTCCGACCCACTCTTTGAGTCCTCCCCCAACTCTGAAGCCCCATGTGACGCCATTGCAGGCTGACTATCGGTCCAAAATGTTGAACCCCAGTTCCCCCTTGAAGGAGGTTGAGTAACCCTTAACCTTATATTGCCTTTATTATCATCTTCATTACTGTGACTATGTTCTGGCATTTCATCATCCATTGTGTTAACATTATTCTTAAGTTGGCTGTTATTCATGGTCAGCTGCTATGAGTGGCGGTCTCTCGTTCAGTACAATCTGCTCTCCTGGGTCGTCCGAGAAATTTCTGAAAAATGCCATGCCACACAATTTGTTTACAATTCCTAGAATTGGAAGGCTACCAACCTACTGATGTACAAGTTACCTTAGAGCTCCCTCTTATAGCTCCCTCCAAAATGCCTCAGCTGTTAGCACAGATCCTACACCATCAGTATGTTGGATAGACGTAAACATAAAGACCAGCTAAAATTTAAGCCACAATTCAGAAAGGAATTAATTTGTTTATTTTTTTCACAGATGACCCAATAAATTGATGTCGAGGATTTGAAAATTCTACAGCAGTGAGTGGATCGGTTGTGTATGACTCAGAATCCACCATTAGAAAGCCACAAATTATCATTATTGTGATTAATATCAGATGTACCCTAAATCTAAATCCGGGAAAAAAAAACCCTAATCGAAATGAAAATCGATGTGTGTCAGCCGATTGCTCATCAATTCAATAAACTGACCTTGGCTTACACAGAAAATGAAAGCGAGGGGGAAAAATCGCTAAATTCGGTGAAGGGTATTTCCGTAAATCGAGTGAGAAGGGCAGGTTTAAGCTCCCAAACCACCGGAGGACTGGCTAACAACGAGCGACCCACTCTGAGGCCCGGCGGCGGCGGGAAAAGATGGGGTTCAAAAACGTTAGCGTTTGGGTCCGGCTTTGTGCACAAAATTTTGATTTGATTTGGGAATTGTGAATTGGAAGCGCGATCGAACGACGGAGGTGAAATCGGAGAATCGAGAATTTAGATTTGGATTAATTACACCTGCGTTGTTGTCCGATGATGCATGCCTGGAGAGAATGGAAGGAAGGAAAAATGGTTTTTTAGAAAGAGAAATTGTAGAGAGAGAAAGAAGGAAGGGGTGTGGGTATATGGGCGTGTATTTTCGAGAAAGGGATTATGAGAAGGGAGTAGGGATTATGAGAAGGTATTGTTGTAAACGAATTACCCAGTTTAGGCTGTTCGAGCTCGTGTTTGTTTACGTTCGAATAGTATTTGTGTTCGTTCGTTTATTTTTCTAACAAAAAATTGTGTTCGAGTTCGTTCGTTTAATTCTTCGTCAAAGTTTGAGTTCATTCGTGTTGAATAATTTAATATATAAACTTTTAATATATTTGATTAACTCGAAATTTGTTCGTTCGAACTCGAAAAGAAAAAGAATAAATTCCAAATATTTTTATATGTTAGATTTTTTTATTAAAAATATTATGTAAATATATAAAATAAATAAATTAATTAATATCAAATTCTAGATTTTTAATAAATATATTATATAAATATATAAAAAATTAAATAAAATTATATTTAATTAATATTCGCGAACATATTCAAACATTCGCGAACGAGCTCGTGTTTGTTCGATTATTAAACGAGCCTAATTTTCTGTTCGAACTCGGCTCGATTAATAAACGAACGAGCTTTTATCGAATACGAACGAGCTCGAACGAGCTTTTGTTCGCGAACGTTCGGTTCGTTTACAGCTCTAGTTTGGAGGGATTTTATAGGAGGTGAGTGGAGGGAAAATGGTAAACCTTGTTTGGTAAGGAAATGAGATGCGAAGGAAAATAATGTTAAAATGATAAATATATCCTTAATGATGTTAGAAATAAAAATTTAAATATTATATACAATAAGGGCTAAATAGTAAATGTATTACTTACAATTTTCCGTCCCCTCCAAATTCTCTCATTTTTGGAGGGGAGCAAAAATGGGGAGGGGAGGGGAGGGAATTCTAACTTAAAATTTTCTCTCCCCTCCTATCTTAACATCCCAACCAAACAAAGCAAATATAAAAAAGTCCCTCCCCTGCACTCCCCTCCCCTCCCCTCCTTTCCTCTCAAACCAAACACTACCTAAGTTGCAACCCATACTTCTTCATTTCCTTTTATTTTTTCTCCCCTCTTTGATTTCTTAAACCTTACCTACAAAATTCAGTGTTCAAAAATAGAACATAAATGCAAAGACAAGTGTGTTTAAAATTTAAGAGCATTTTCTAACTGATAATTATAATACTATATATATATATATAAATAACTTATACTACTTTATTTACACAATACTAGTTATACCCACATACCAATCATTTATTTACATGACAAATTTGAAGCAGAGCAAAAAATTTCATCTGTCCCAAAACCCTATCTCTACCACCTAAATCTCTTGTCAGAAAACTCTTTACCCCACTCACCGCCGTGAAGCCGAGCAAAAATGGCGTCTTTAGCCGCAACATGACGAATCCATTTGAATCTAAGCCTCTCCAAGCTCCCTTCCCCAATTTCCCTCAAATCCCTCTTCGTCTCCACCTCTCTCGCCTCTCAATCTCCAAACCCTACC